CATGCATTACCGCCGGCCTGTGATAAGGCCTCACTACATATCGATAATTATGCTAGTGATGTTTTATAATAAATGATGTTATAGAGACTAGGCATTGAAAAAACTCTTACATCTCATCGAGTACAGCCAGTCCTCGTTTGCTGGAGATGGCAGCGGAAAAATTACATTTCAGAGAGTGTTGACTATTATTTTAAAATGACGAAATGTTGGCGGATATGGATTTATCTGCCTACCATACTAAACACTCACACTGTCTATATGGTTGCTCACAAGGTACTTTGAATAGATTTTTTCCACAGCACTAAGTTTGCAGTGATGAGGCAATGCAGCCATCTCTGGCAAACGAGGACCGAGTGTATCTGATGAACCCGAATTAGTCCAATTTTGCCAGCAGATTTTAGGAGCATTAAAGTCTACAACGGTAAGAAGAATTTTTTTCAAAAAAAGCCTTGTTTAGCTTAATTAGGTGAAGGAAATTTCGTTCGGACCTTTGGTTAAAGGAACGGCAGACAACTGCAAATATCAGTGACCCGCGTATTTAGTTGAGCTAGTTAGGCACAAAACTTCAATGTCTACTGTCATGGCACGTTACTCGGAAACTGTGGTTATATTGCAGTAAATTTAAACAGCAATTCCTCCTCCGCGACTTCTTCTGTCTCTTCTTAATGGTTGATAACCATGGAGGGATACCTCGAAATCTCGGATATGTTCTAAGAGCCATGTTTGCCTTAGTGCAATAATATCGGGAATTCGTTCATCAAAGAGCGCCCGCAGCTATGTCATTTTATGGAACAGGCTCTGTATGGTTGAGCCTATTAAATTTATTTTTCTTCCTCTCGGGTTATCGTTCATCGCTTACGTTACTGTAACTGGTGGTCGCGCTGGGGAGACCTGGCCATGATTGTGACAGCAATTTCTCACAAATACACTTTATTACTGTTCGTTACACGCGTCTTTATTTCGGGACCACTCGAGGGCTTGTGATTTTATCTTATTTTGGGAGATTATCAGACGTTTCTTCCGGTTGTTGTCCTCTTCTGCTCTCGCGAGCTTTGTTAGGTCAGAATTAACGCCGTGTTCCGTGCTAATAATGCCATGGGTTCCTTTGTAAACTTCGAAGGCGCTACTTTTGCTTGGAAGGTGTTTAAGCTCGTATAATACTAATATTCAGGTTTATTTTGCTTTGTTGGGAAACTCGAGGACGTTTCTTCGTTTTCTGAGATGTCGACTCGTTGAACTTTTTGTATCCCAGACTGATTGAGAGTTCCGTCAAGCCTCATAAACGCAAAATCATTTCCAGATTTGAGCTCACGGACAAGGGAGCTGTGTTTATGTACGTCAGTTTGCATTCCTCTAGTTTAATCGCCGCGGATTTCGCTTTTATAGGAATAAAGTGGGGAGGTTTTTTCAAGTTCTCTGTCCTAATTCTTTGACGCAGCATCTCCTGCTCTAGTTCCTGCTCTGAAATCCGACAGTGTCCAGTAGACTGAAATCTCGAAACCAGTCCAAAGTCACAAAATCATTTCCAAGGGCGCATCCCGCTAAAATTTGTTCAATAAACTGGCGTTCCTAATGGAATGGTAGAAAAATAAACAAGCATAGTTTACTATCATTCAAGTCTTTAAGCCTGAATTGTTAGGGCGACCTAACGAACAGCCTAACAGCAAATAGCATGCGGGCGTGAGGCGCGCTCATGGTAGGCTGTCGATCGGCCTACAGGCGGCGAAGCATACTGATGGGCAATCAATCAATAACTAGAAATTCAAAATACAGTCAGCCGTTGAGTCAGCAGCCAATAATAACGGCGACTATTTCCGGAGAGGAGCTGACTGGTTTAATGGACATCGCGTTACACGGTATG